ACATATATATTTTTTTCTATATTTCATATCTATGATAAAGTTTAATTTAGAAAATAGTTATAGTAAGATATTAACAACAATAATAAAATAGAACAATTTAACAATACACTATAATAAAAGTTATGGCAACATGGTCTCTATTCATGTCTTCCATGAAAAATTTAATGGCTTTATCATCTTAACATAGTACATCATGTACTGTGGCTATAAATTTTATAGTTTGAGGTGCTATGGCAAAACTAACATGAATTTCATTTTCCTTCACAATTTCACGGATGAAAATTCATTCTTACTAGATTTTAGCAGCCTGAGTATACAATTGTTTATTAAGTCAAGAATTTTTACCTTTTCACTTAAAGGAAGCACTTTACGGCTTCTCTTTGGTATATCTGAATTGCGAAAATCATTATTGCTCTTTGGGACCATTAAGTAAAATAAGGGTTACTTGAACACAAGTAACTGTAGACTATTTGTTAGACTTCTGTTCCATTTTTTTCTATTGATTCTTGACCTTTCTTCATTTTTAGATGATATAAATTAATGCTATCTAACCCTTTGTGATATAGTAGTAAGTTGCTACCTCCCACCCCCATTCCCAAAGACAAGTTTATTACTCATCTTTAAACTTCACTCTGAACTTTGCTTTGAACTTTGCATACCACCTTCCTCTGAGGTATAGGAGTTTGGGAAGAACTGGCGGGTAGAGAATTGGGTAATAAGAGTCACAGTAGTTTTTAAGGAGACCAGAGACTTGATCATAATGGATAACAGGGAGGTTGGATTTCCAGTGGTAATTAATGTAAGCAGGAATATAAGATGGAATGGATTTAGTCCATATCATTGTTAATGGGTGTTGGTGATTTTTTTTTTGGTTACTATTTGTTAAGTACAACCTCAGGATGTCATCAGATGGTGAGCCAAGGTTCAATAAAAGACTGAAGGGGAAGTGAAATAGAGAAGTTTATTACTGACAGGTCCCGGAGGAGGTACACAGTATTCCTCGAGGATACACATGGAAAAGCCAATGCAGGGGTGCACAGAGAGTGAGCAGCAGGACCTGGGCAGATGCCTTTATTAGGGTCTGTGGGTGGAGTGCTTTGGGGTCCTAGGCTAAGGCTGGATTGGTCAGTTCAAACCAAAAAGAGTGGGTTTTTTATAATCTCTAATGGGGATGGGGTCTTATCTAAGGGGAACTAAAGGGGAGGGAGCTGGAAGGCAGGGGATGCTTTATCACGAGGGGTTTTGGGGGAGTCGTATCAATCACATGTATATATGTACTTGTGATTCTTGAGGGCTGTTATCTAGGGCATGCACTTGCTAGATGAGCTACTGTCAGTTCAAGAGCCCTTTGGGCCAGTTACCAAGGCAGCAATATTATGGAATAGTTTAAATTCTCAACAAGGGTTGGGGAGCATGGGCAGACTTAAGATTCTAAAGATGTAATTTGATAAATTTGTGGTTGAGGAGCTTTAAGCAACTTAGCACCACCTGTTACAGTGTGCCTCTGATGTCAATTGCTTGGTGGCTCCTTTAGTGGACCTCAGTGGACGGGCTGCTCAGGAGGGAGTAGTTCACATCTGGCTGACGGGGATTTCTGCTATGTCTTTACAAGTGTCAGACTATCATCAGAATGGCCCATTTTTTTTTATTCAATTGGGTTTTTCTATTACAAAGAACTATAACTCTGCCTTTCTATAGAATGTGTGTTTAATGAATGTTAACATAAATATTGGTTGTTTTTGTTCTTATTTCAGGCTACAGACAAGAGAAAAGCTTTAGAAGAGACCAAAGCCTATACAACCCAATCCCTAGCTAGTGTTGCTTATCAAATAAATGCATTGGCCAACAATGTACTCCAATTGCTGGACATCCAAGCCTCTCAGCTTCGGAGAATGGAGTCTTCCATCAATCATATCTCACAGGTAACATCTTATAAATAGCTTTAAGCAACCGGCAGCATATGTCAAAGGAGTAGATAGCCTGGGTATATGGATTCCTTACTCATTTTCTTACCGACTAACTATAGTTATTATCACTTTTAGTTTTAGCTTTGAGGTCAGTAAACCAATTCTTCTTTTTAAAAAGTTTTTGTTTGTGTGGTAAAATATACACAACATAAAATTTATCATTTCAACCATTTTTATGTGTATAGTTCATTAGCATTAGGTATATTCACATAGTTGGGCAACCATCACCACTTACCCTATTTCTCTTATAAGATCTTTCTTGAAGTAAAGTAAATTGCACACAATTAAAGCATAGTTTTATAAAATTTGATACGTTATCCATGAGACCATCAGTACATTCAAGATAATGAACATCCTCCCCAAATTTCTTCATACTTCTTTGTTATCCCTCTTCATTTTCTATACCCTGCCCTCATGCTTTCTGTCACTATGGATTAGTTTACATTTTTTGAAATTTTATATAAATGAAATCAAATATTATATACTATTTGTCAGGCTACTTTCAATCAGCATAATTATTTTGAGATTCATTCATGTTGTATATAAAAATAGTTCACTCCTTTGTATTGCTGAGTACGATTCCATTGTTCCACATTTTGTTTATCCATTTATGGTTCTTTTTTATTTTGGAATATATATTTTATTTTTATTTCTAAAAAATTTGTGCTTGTGCCATGCACTTTTTTTTCTCTTTCAAATCATTTTAATAACATGGCAGTCAAAATACAAAAAGCAGACTCAGACTTGTTTTTTTTAAGGGGGGGTGCTGCCATGATTGCCTCACACAAGCATGATCTAAGGTAATGATGACACCGATTCCAAAGAGCAAGGGTGGTAAGAAGGCCTCAAGGCTCACAAACTGAAAAGCTTGGTTTCAGAAAAGTCTCAGAGGGGTCGCAGGTGGCAGGAGAGACATGAAATTTAAGGGACCTTCACAGTACAGGGCGCGGCTGCTGGGTCATCAGCACCTTGAAACTAATGCTCTCCAGTTCCATCCATGCCGTTGAAACGTTTCTTGATGGTGACTCGATGTTGAGAGTATTTGTTGTCTGGGGAGAACTGAGCAGGATGGGCCGAGCAGGTCTGTTGTCCAATAGGATCAAACTTCTTCAGGGTATAAACCCGGTCTTCCTGTTCATTGAGGTAATACTGGAGAAACATGATCTCGCTGAAGCAGGGTGTCCCAATTCCGTCTGCACTTCTTGATCTCCTGAGGGCCTCATGTGGTCGCCTGCCATGCACTTTTTAAACAATATATATTTTTATTGATTTCAGAGAGGAAGGGAGAGAGAGGGAGAGATAAAAACATTAATGATGAGAGAGAATCATTGATCGGCTGCCTGCTGCACGCCCCCCACTGGGGATCGAGCCCACAACCCAGGCATGTGTCCCTGACCTGAATCAAACCTAGGACCCTTCAGAATGCAGGCTGAAGCTCTATCCACTGAGCCAAACTGGCTAGGGCCGGAATATATTTTTATTGACTTCATCGAGGAAGGGAAAGGGAGAGAGAGATAGAAACATCAATAATGAGAGAAAATCATAGATTGGCTGCCTCCTACAAGCCCCCTACTGCTAGGGATGGCCCACCACTGGGGCCTGTGCCCTGATTGGGAATTGAACAATGACCTCCTGGCTCATAGGTCGATGCTTAATCACTGAGCAACCCAGGCCGTGCTGTTTACATGTTGATGGACATCTGGATTGTTTTCAAGTTTTGCCTATTACAAATAAAACTGTGAATATGTGTACAAGTCTTTATATGGTCATGTGTTTTTATTTCTCTTGGGTAAATTAGCTTCCTCTGAGTGGAATGGCTGGGTCACATGGTAGATGCCTGTTTAACATTATAACCAGATTTATAGCCAAGTTGTTTTCCAAAATGATTAATACCATTTTACCTTCCCATCAACACTAATGAGAGTTTTAATTGCTTCACATTCTCACCAGTGCTTGCTGTGGTCAATTTTTAAAATTTTAGCCGAAACCGGTTTGGCTCAGTGGATAGAGCGTCGGCCTGCGGACTGAAAGGTCCCAGGTTCGATTCCGGTCAAGGGCATGTACCTGGGTTGCTGGCACATCCCCAGTAGGAGATGTGCAGGAGGCAGCTGATCGATGTTTCTCTCTCATCGATGTTTCTAACTATCTCTCTGATGATAGTTTCTAACTATCTCTCCCTTCCTCTCTGTTAAAAAAAAAAAAAAAGAAAAGAAAAGCCATTCCAATAGTTATGTAGTAGTGTCTTATTGTAGTTTTAATCTCCCTTTCCCTAGTGATTAATGATGTCGAATATCTTTTCGTGTGGTTTCTGTATATTCCAATATTTAAGCCTTGCATTTCTTTGTCAGATTTATTCCAAAGTATATCATATTTGTCACGCTATTTGGTATTTTAAATCTTAACTTGATTTTTTTCTTGCTTATATATACAGAAATACAATTGATATTGATAAACTTTGTGTGCTTATTAAAGTCACTTAATATTTATAGTATTTATTATATAGATTCCATTGGATTTTCTACATAGAATATCATGTTTATAAATAAAAAGTTTTACTTTTTCCATTTTCTATTTTTCTTGCTTTTTACTTTTATTTATTTTTGTCTTACTGCACTAGTTTGAAGCTTCAAGACCATGTTGAAATAGGAGTAGTGAAAGTGGTCATTGTTACCTTGTTGCTATTTTAGTAGAAAGCAGTCTTTTACTATAAGTATGATTGTAGTCTATATGTTTTTCAGAAATATGCTGTATGAAGTTGTTTTCTAGTGCTAGTTTGCTGAGAGTTCTTGTCAAAAATGGGTAATGGATTTTATAAAAAACTTATCTGTGTGTTGAAATGATCATGTATATATTTTTTGGTCTGTTAATGTGGTGAATTACATTTTTTTTCTTTTAAATGTTAAACTGGCCTTGCTTTCCTGGGATAAACTACTTGATTGTGATGTATTATCCATTTTATAGATTTTTAGACTTATTTTGCTAAAATTTTGTTTCTATGCTCCTGAGAGTCTGTAGTTTTCTTGTAATATCTGGTTTTGGTGTCAGTATAAATGTGATCTTACACTGGGGAAGCCTCTGCCCGGTTGGCGCGCATAGGCACCAGGGAGCCTGGGTTGGGGCAGCGCCGGACCGTGGAAGCCAGCGGTGGGGCCTGGAGCTTCCTTCGCGTCGCCATGGTGATGCAGGGGAAACTCCTGCCCTACTGGAGTGTGTGTGCGCGGGCGCCGGTGGAGGTTCTCGCTCTGTGGCCGTTTGCGCGAGCGCTAGCACCAAAAGGCCTGTGTCCCTGGGACAGGCGTCCTCGGGAGCCAGGCCAACCTGAGCCTGTAGGTCTGTGTCTTGGCCCAGAGTGGCTGGGGTCCCGGAACGTGACAGAGGGTGCACTTCAGGCTAAGGGGACTCTCCCCCCAATCCTCCCCACTCCCCCCCCGCCCCCCCGCATGAATTTCGTCCACCGGGCCCCTAGTCTTTTTAATAAGAGAGACACTCATGAAATATTAAAACAAAAATTATTCTTAGAAAGGAATAGTAGGTTGGGGAATAAGTACAATTCATGACCTGATATTTAAAAGATAAATTGTGATTTAATGTTCTCTTAAAACTTCATATTTACCTTAGATCCTACTTTGGATAAAAAATGGTTATACATAAATTAAGCACAGTTTTTCTTTTTTTGAGATGTATGTATAATTATCATCTGGAGTATTCTTATATTCTTAAGAGGTGACAGAAAAGTGTCATTGGATGGTACTAAAAAATTTCATATGGATCAAAGTGTTGGTGACAGATTCAATTTTTCCCAGTATGAAATATCTATTTCAGAATATATATACACTGATGCCAGTGTTTTATATTATGTTTTCCACCAAAGTCTTATTTTGTAGCTCATCTGTTCTAAATAGAACTATTTTGTAGTGTTTATATAGGTCATTCTGAATCAAGTTAACTTCACAGTTGATTGGGACCTTGTTTCAAGCTTATTGAACAAAGCTCTGTAACTCCCCATTTTGGGCATAGGGCCATTTCCAGAGCCTGGTCCAAATAAGCAGTAACAGACAAAGATTGTCTCTTTCTTGGCTAAAGGCTTTCTCTGTTTGGCTTGTCTCAGGACTCTTACACTTTTTCTACTTGTTTCATACTCCTCTCCTTTTTCTATTCAGGTCAGAAGTGTTTCAGTTTTTATTCTGTAGTTCTTATTTTAGCAAACATTTATTGTGCTTTTAAACTCGTATAAGGTTCTTTGCTTGAAACCTATAATTCCCGCTCTGAATTGGCAGAGGCATTTGTGAGGCTAGTCAGCTTTCCAATATGATACAGAAAATATGTGCAATATTAAATAGTTTTGCTATGTCATACTTCTTTCTTGCCTGCTTTTTTTGTCTTTTGATAATTAAGAAAGGATTTTTCTGGAGGATTTTTAAAAGAAAAATGCCCTCTCTCCCCATCCCCAGATTGATAAGGGAAAAGTAAGAGAGCATAATTAAAATAACATTTTTGTACAATAGTTTTAAATAACCATATCTTAAAAGATAACTTGAAAATATTACCTCTTTATGAGATTTAACTTTTTATTTTAACATTTGTTTTAAGAACATATATTTCTTTTTTTAAAAAAAATATTTTATTGATTTTTTTACAGAGAGGAAGGGAGAGGGATAGAGAGTTAGAAACATCAATCAGCTGTCTCCTCACACCCCCCACTGGGGATGCGCCCTCAACCAAGGTACATGCCCCTGGCCGGAATTGAACCTGGGACCGTTCAGTCCGCAGGCCGATGCTCTATCCACTGAGCCAAACTGGTTAGGACGGAACATATATTTCTTTTTTTCTTTCTTTTTTTTAAAAATATATTTTATTGATTTTTCACAGAGAGGAAGGGAGAGAGATAGAAAGTTAGAAACATCGATGAGAGAGAAACATCGACAAGCTGCCTCCTGCACATTTCCCACTGGGTA